TGCCGAGAATCCTGCCAAGGCTCACACATGAACAATGGCAACCTGGATGGGATATGGGAGGGGAAACCCCATCCCAGCAAGAGGAGGTCAGACCAGGAGCAGAGCGGCCAGTGTCAGTGGGAAGAAAATTAAAAAAAAATGGGACACACTATTTTTTAAAAACATGCCTCTTATAATATCTGAATGGTTTTAAAGTAAAAACGTATATTTTACAGTAAAAATCTCGTGGATCATTTTGAGACATCTCAACAACATAATAAGGCACTATTTCAAATGCAAGGATTATTAGTTTTTATATTAAGGTGATGTTACCTTACCGTACAACTTGTTTTATTTCAAAGCTTTGGGTCATCCTCCTGATGTGAAAGGTGCTTTACAAATGTAATTTGTTTGTTATTATTCAATTTCATCCATCATTCCTGAAAGACTAAGCTAAATCCTGTTAAGAGATTCCCACAAGAAGGGAAAATAGTCAGTTCTTGGGTGAAGTTCTTGTAAGAGAAGGGTGAAATGATGGTAAGGCTTTATTGAAGCACAGACCAAGGTCAGACAGAACCAAACATGCACATTTGGATATAGTTCCAGGATAGAGGTTCATCTGGACAGTAAGAAGGTTCCAGGGTCTCTGGCAATAAACACCACCTTCCAACCTCTAAGAGACTCCAGGGTCAGAGAAACCTGGGTTTACACTCTGACACCCCCTCACCCACTGTGGTTCCTCTCAGCTCAGGCCCACAGCGCTCACATTCAACACTTCCTTGTTGGATGATGTGCCTTTCCTCAGGGTGCCAGAAGTCTAGAGCAGGGATTCCCTGTTCTATTCCTATTCTATTCCCCTTTTATATGGGAATAGAATAAGACAAACCAAATGCCCACTTTAGTTGCCCTCCACAATGTCAGTTTTCAGTCCTTATAATAGGATAATAGGAATAATCCTTGCATTTGGTATAGCGCCTTGTCACAAATGTCAAGATGTCTCAAATCCCTTCACAGTAATTTACTGTAAAATGTGGTGCCTGTGTATGTTGTAGATGAGATATTAGGTGGATGTGGGGGGTGGGGTGGGGGGGGGGGGGGAGTGTTGCCCACCATGACAGAGTAGGTTTTGTGCAGCGATTGAAGTGAGGGCTTCAAATAGGCTAGAAAGTCCTATCCTCTGTGTGTTCTTTAAGATAAATGCCAGAGTGTCCGTTACTAAACGTAGAACCACAGTGGTTTGAACCAATCTTGCTCACAAACCGAGCTCCAGGTAATAAAAGGGTCACGACTCGTAGGAGATATACAAAAAAATTTATTTTTCATGTGCACAAAAAAAAATCTGAACAGAATCGAACCAGTAATGGGGAGCCACAATGGCGTTAGTTTGTTTACTGTCCATCCAATAGTTTATGAGAGCAGAGAAGTCCATCAATTCCCCTCCACCCACACCACCATCCCCCCTGGCGTTGACTTCCCAATGGGAAGCTCGATCTCTTTCAGGGCAACCTGTATCCCCCACCCCATCCTTACACACCATCACTTGCACCACTCCCCACTAGAGATGGTTGCACTAACTCCCACTCTCCTTTGTGGCGGCTTAGTCTCGAGTGGAAGGAAAGAGGGGGAGTAGAGTCGAAGATTCACCAGATTAAAGCTTTGAACTTCCTTCAATAAAGATCATTTTGCCCATGACATGACGAGTCACTTAGTTAAAAATGTTTTTGTTAATTGCTTCCCCCTCCTTTTACCGCCCCCCCCCCCACCCCAACACCCCCCTTTCCCCACCCCGCTGGGGTAAGTAATTGTGATAACAGCATGCAGACTCGATCACAATGAACTGTGTATGAGTGCGTATGTGTATATATGTGTATGTGTATTTGAGAGAGGGAGAGGAGGCAGAATTATAACCGTCTAAAGATGACGTTATAAAATAGAATCCCCCCACCACCCCCCCACCCCAATATCAGTCTCAGCCCCACTTCACAATGAACATAGAAACCCAACGGCACCCCCTGTAACACAGCAGTCCCTAGATTCAGAGAATGTCACAGACACTCTGACACTGAGTGACACAGCAAGAGAAAGGACAGTGAGGGTTGGGTGCAGGGAGAACAGGGCAAGATAGGCGAGTGAGGGTGTAGGGACTCGACGTGTCGGTAAAGCACACAACTACAGATGAAAGCACAGGATTCCTCTAAATTGCATAGTGATGAATTTTTTTAATATATATATATAAAAAAAATCTCTTTTATTCCGTAAAACCACCAAAAAAGGAAAAAAAAGCAAATCCAGTGTGAAAGACTACCTCTCTTCACCACCACTACACTCTCTGCCCACCGGGTCTCTCAAAAACATGGGTCCATGTGGGTGGGGGCTGCTTTCGTTTTAGCATTGTGGTTGTAAGAAGCACTACACTTTTAACATACAGATGCTGAGAATTTTTTTTTATCATTTTTCCTTCAGCGTCAGTAAAATCTACAAGATCGGACGTCCGTGTCAGTGGAATCTATAAACGGTAAAAGGATGCAAACTGCAATATATATATCTATATACAACAGAATTCCCTTCACATTTTTTCTTTTAAGCATTATGAACCTACAAAGCAGCAATCTTTGCAAATAACAATACAGTGAGTAATTCCTGGAATCATTTTTTCTTCCACAGTTTTGAATTTCTACTCGGTGCTATAGTCGGGTAATATGATTATCGGGAGTTTCGGCTGCATATTACCACATAAAATTTCAATCTTTTTAACAAGTAGGTAACTATAATACTGATTTACAATCAAACGCATACACATCCTGTAAATAAAAAGAACCTAATATCAACCAAGTCTTTGGCAAATGTTGCAATAATAATTACATTCACTTTTTATCTGTTGTTTCAGAGAGCAGAGTATCAATAGTTTTGTATCTAATCATGCAAAACGCTTATTCCTTCCTTGTACTGGTCTTTTCACCCCATTCTCTTTCATCTCTTCCTTTTCCCTTTCTCTCACTCTCTCTCTTGCTGGCTTGGTTCTCTTGCTTGTTCCTCCCGCATCCACAGCCATTAATTTTTTTTACCCAGGCCAATGCAACTTGTGCATGCAGAATGGATGTGAGGAGCGGGTTGGGGTGTGGAAAGGATACACAATAGGATCGGGTTGTGGCAGTGACTCTTGTGCTAGCCTTCGTCTGTTACTGTTTCAGCGTTGGGGATAGTGGGGGTCTGTCAATGGAGGAATAGGTGTTGGTGGGGTGGAGTTGGGAGATGGAAGGCTGAAACTTTCTCATGTGGTTTGTGAATGCTGAGGCCTGGCTAAATCTTTCATATGTTGCGTGAATGTACTTAAGTCAGCTATATGTATGCACTTACGATAAGTTTTGGTCGGAAAGGGAGAGGACACAAGCAGGGAGGGATACCGAACAAAAGCAACCCCCAGAACCCAGGCTTCCCATCTCACACCACACAGAAACATCGCCTTGGATAGAGGCCACTCCTCCATCCAGTCTTCACTGGCACAGGGAGTGACTGCGATAACTTTGGGAGAGGTCCCCCCCAATATTGCCTCTTGCTTTGGAAAATTTTCATTCTGGTTGGGACCTGGAAATGAGCAGATTCCTGGATAGGAGGTCACCCGGGTGAAATTGGGATGGGGTTGAATGAAGTGGATGTTACCCACCGTTGCCATTGACAGCTGTCTGTCTCCCTAGCTCCATGTTTTCTCTCTTTTCACTGCACAGTGCATCGCAACCTTCCAATCCAAATGAAAGCCAATTAAGTGCCTAGTTGATTAAACGAGTAACCTTTTTTTCTTCTGTTAATCTTTAATAACCGCAAAGAAACTTTTTTTTGCAAATTTCTTGCCTCGGTGAAGAGACCAGAAAGTGCTGGGTGAGTGGGGAAAGATGCGATGGGTAAAAATGGAGAGCTAGTGCAATAAACAGGTACATAGAAGCATCAGCTGTTGTGTAACCAGAAAAAAAATAACTGCTGTTTTTTAAAACGTCTGTGTCCTACACCTCCATCGCCATTTCTGGAGCCAAACGAAACCGATTCAACAGAAAGATTTCATGCCAAGATGTCCGGACTGTCCTTTACCAAACATGGCGTGCACGTCGCTTTTTGGAAGTTTTTGGGGCGTAATGCGGGGAAAACGTCTCTCGAGTGTTAATCGGGCGAGCTGTGAGGATTCAGTGTAACTCGGCAAGTATTGGTGGAGCAGGAGTAGGAAGAGGGGGCGGGAAAAGGGGGGTGGAAGAGGCAGGCGGTCCCAGCAAACGACAAAAGAGGCTCCCATCAATTTCCTGGTGCGCTCTCACACGACGGAGGTGAACTCGGTTCATCAGTGTAAACATGGTGCAGGAGGGCGAAAAAGAAACCAAGAATCCGCTTGCTTGAAAACCTTTCGCACGTAAACAATCACCTCTTCTCTCTTTGCTGTAACGAGCTTGTGCGGGTGGTCTCTTTCTCTCTCTCTTTCCTCTCTCTCTTTTTCCAAAAGAAATACGAAAAATCGATGGGTTCACCAAGTGACGTATTGTTTCCTCTCTCTCTCTCTCTCTCTCCCCCAAAACACCTCGACGAGTTTCAGTCAAACATCGGAAGGCAAATTGGTCCAAAACACAATAATCTCTTAAGTACTGAAAGCACGATTTATTTTTTTTGTACGCAGGTGTGAGAGAGCGAGTGTGTGAGTGCGTGTGTGCGTGTGTTCATATATATATAATTTTAAATCAGCCCATTCTTTAAACTAAAAAGTACATTTCTTCTGATTTCTGCGATATATATTTAAAGATACTTTGCTTTATTTTTTCTCCCCTTTTTGCCCTGATGGACTGCGATGTGAAAGTTAAATGCAATAGTCTAGGAGTACTAAATGGCAGCACAGTTTTCAAGGAGAAATGGTTGTTTGCAGGTCAAGGGGGGCGGGGGGGGGGAATTTTTTTTCCCTCTTCCTTCCCCCCCCCACCCCACCCCCCCCTTCCATCTTGTCCAGTTTTTTTCACTTCTCCGTCCGTCCGTCCTTCGTTCTGTACTCACAGTTGTTTTTTTTTGTTGTTAAAAAGTTTTTGTTGATGTTGTTGTTCATTAACGATTCCTTATCCCCACTCAGGTTGGTCAGACTGGTACAATGTGGAGCCCAGTTGTGTCGTCCTGCAGTTTGGTGTGGTTGCCATAATAACTAGTGGCGGTCGTAGGCAGTGGCAGGGGTGGGAGGTGCAGCACCCCGGGATGCGGCACTATAATAATAAGGGGAACCTGAAAGTTAACACAGGAGAAGGGTGGACCAGTTGGAAGGACATTTGTTTCGAGATACATAGGAAGGAAAGAGCTAGAAAAGACCCACAGGCCTATCGGGTCCACACTATGATAGAACAACAACAACAACAAATTACATTTGTATAGCGTCTTTCATGTCAGGATAACGTCCCAAGGCACTGGACAGTCAGGGATTTGGACCCGAGTGGGGGGGGGGGGGGGGGGGGGGAGAGAGGTTAGAATTGGGAGGGGTAGGATGCAGAGAGGGTGGGGGTAGGAGAGGAACTGAAGGTGCGGTCAAAGAGGAGGGTCTTGGGTGGGGTCAGAAAGGCTGTAGGCCTGACCATCGATGATGGAGCAGGCATGGCGTTGGACATGGAGCAGGCTGAGCGGAGGAAGCGGACTGGTGAGTATGGAACACAAGATCATAAGAGAGGTTCAGATGAAGAAGGTTCTTCGGACTATTTGATCTCATCCTTCCAGAATACCATCTCTTAAAATGAGTCCCAGCCTCAATCATCCTGATATACTCCTTGCATTTGATACAGCACCTTTCACACCAACCATTTCACAAAAAAGTGCATAGTGACTGCAAATTTTCTTGGTGAATGCGACAGCCAATTTTTGCACAGTGATGTCTCACAAACAGCCATGAAGTGAATGACCAATTTTTTTAATCTGGGAGATTGTTGGCCTGGAGATGGGGAGAAAATCTCTTCTATTTGTAAATAGTGCTGTGGAATCTTAAACATTCACCTGAGCAGGTAGATGGACCCTGGTTTACAATATGATCTGCACAATGACCCATCTCACTGCCCCAGCCCTGCTTGGAGTATCAGTCCACATGGGGCTTGAACCCACAACCTCAGAGGCGAGAGTGCTACTGACTGAGCCAAGCTGTCACCCTTCCTGGTAACCCAAACTTCCCACACATCAACCCCCCAGACACACACAATACACTTCTCTCCTGTTGCTAGATCCACTCCAAAGTGAGACAAAAAAGCAGACGGGCGAGGGGGGGTGAGGAGGAAGGATCTCTCCTTCTCGGTTTGGTTTGGGTACTCTTAAGCATGGTGATGGGTTACTGCCTGTGTCAGATATCAGCTGACCAAACAAAAAATGAAAAAAATACTGAACTGGTGGCCGGGACCTCTGAGATCAGCAAAGCCGGGCACAGGCTGGAGACCAAACCTGGGACCTTCTTGGTCTACACGACTCACGTCCACAGTCAGCATTGCACTTACCCAACTGAGCCACGTGTGGGCTACAATTATATCTTAAGGCTCATGAGAGATAGGAAACATGTATTCCTAAAGATGGAAGAAGCTGATATGAAGCAGATAGGTCTGGGTGAAGGAAACCTTTTCTGCCCATTTGATCTCATCCTTCCAGAACCCACCCACTGTGGTGGTAGCAAAATGCATCGATGTATTTAAGAGGAACCTTGATGCATACATAAGGGAGAAGATAATAGAGGGATGCGGGAGAGGGCAATAGGTGTATGTGGAGTATAAACACCGGTATGGACTAGTTGGGCCAAATAGGCCCTCACAAGGCGCTGGGTAATGAGGGGTTTGCATCTGAGCTGCAGGTTGGGAGCAGAGATAGGTGGAGAACAAAGGGGGTGGAGGAGGGAAGATGACTAAAGGCACGATCGAAAAGGAAGCTCTTGCGATAGACCGAGACAGACATTCGAGCATTCAGTTCTACACAAACTCAAAGACGCCTGGAACCAGGAAAGCACCTTGTAGAGATCTTGCTTCGGTCTTGTTGGGAGAAAGAAACCAATAAGCCAGAGAGCACTCACTTAGTAATCCTGGATTGGTGAAACGCCAGGCTTCATTGTAGGTTGTGTACTGTGGATGGGTGTAAGGATTACCCGAAAATTCACTGCCTGAGGAAAGAAACAGAAGAAGACAAAATTTATACAATACAATTTATATTTACATAGCATTTTTCACATCCGGAGGTGTCTAAAAGAGTTTGACAATGTACCTAAGCTGGGGAGAGGATAGATGATAGTCAAAGAGGACAGTCAAAGAGGTACGTTTTAAAACAACAACAACTTGCATTTATATAGCACCCTTCACACAGGACAGCTGAGCTGGGGGGAACTGGGCGAGGGGGAGGGAGAGAGATAGATGACTCCCAAAAACTGTGGATGCTGGATCAATTGAAATTTTCAAGACTGAGGTGGACAGATTTTTGTTAGGTAAGGATATCAAGGGATCTGGAGCAAAGGCGGGTAAATGGAATTGAAGTAGAGATCAGCCATGATCGAACAGAATAGCGGAACGGTCTGCTCCACATCCCCCGCCCTAACCGCCCTACCATTGGTGGCCGGGCCTTCAGCCTCTCAGCCCCTAGGCTCTGGAACTCCATCCCACAGTGCCTTCGCCTTGCTTCCTCCCTTTCCTCCTTTAAGGCCAGTCTCAAGACCTTTCTCTTTGACCGTGCCTTCAGCTCCCCTCTCGACTCTCTACCCCCTCCTCGCTCCGTCCCTTCCGTCCCCTCACCCTGACCATTTCCCCCCTGCTTGGGTCCTGACGCAACTGTCCAGCGTCTTGGGACGTCCTCCCGACGTGAAAGGTGCTCTGTAAATGAAATCTTGTTGTTGTTGTTGTTGTTGAGGAGCTGAATGGCCTCCTCCTGTTCCTCTGTGCCTATATATAAAGACCTCCCAATCCCATGAGGACACTCTTCCCCCTCTCGCCCTCCCCCATGTTGTATTTCACTCGGCAGCTCCCATGCTCCTGCTCTGTGACCAAGGGGGTTTAATCTGAGGTCCTGCACGGCCTGCTGTTAGTTTTTATCCTGCTTTGATCTCATGAGCGCATGAGTGCATGTGTGGTTGGCAAATGAGGACAGCATTGGGCTCAGCTGTGACACTCCTCGGATGAATAAGCAGCCAACATTTACTGAACAATGGGCATCTGGGCCAGGTACTGGAGGGTGGCTACCCGAACTGTACCCAAACCATTAGTTAGCGAGGAGAGAGCAGAGAGGGGAGAGAAGAAATGAGAGCGGAGAGAATAGAGAGAGAAGAGGGGAGAGGAGAGAGTAGGAGAGAGGAAAGAGAAATGAGGGGAGAGGAGAGGGCAGAAGGGTGGAGCAAAGATGATAAGAAAGAAGAGAGGAGAGAAGAGAGGAATGAGGAGAAGAGAGGAGAGGAGAATGGAGAGGAGATGAGGAGGAGGGGGAGGAGAGAAGAGGGAGGTCAGTTGGAAGGCAGGAAATAAAATATATTAAGATATATCCTTGCATTTAATTTAGTGCCTATAACATCAAAATATCAGATAATGACTGCTGAGTGTAGTGAGAGTGCCAACAAGCCCACTAATCTATGCATGTCACACACCGAATGACCAAAACTGATCTGGGAGAATTGTTGGCCAGGATACCGGGAACTCTGAATACACAGTCACTCCACTTTATAGTAAATCCTGTGAAGTGCTTTTGAGACGTCTCAGCGACGTGATAAGGCACCATATCAAATGCAAGGATTCATTCTCCTTTCGAACCGGGTGATGGGATCTTGTAGTTCATAGGTTGAAGCTTGATTTAAGCGTCTCACCAGAAGCTTTGATAATTATATGAGATTCAATTGAAGTGAGGTTTCATTATAGACCACATTTGGTCACAAGAAGCTTGTAACATCTGAAACTATTCAGTTTGCGAACGAAGCCTTCAGGATGGGTTAATTATAATAATAATCCTTGCATTTGATATTGCGCCTTATCACATCATTTGAGATATCATAAAGTGCATCACAAAATATACTCTAAAATGGTTTGACTGTGTTTAGGGGGAAAAACGTGGTAGCCGATTGCACACAGAAAGTCCCACAAACAGTCTTGGATTGAGTGACCAAATTATTTTTTAATTTATTTTTTGAAGGATTATTATCAGGTGAATCTTGCAAATTCCATGGAACCATTTAAAAATAGAAGAGAGTTTCTCCTGAAGCCAATTGCACACAGCAGTGTTCCATAAACGTCGTGGATTGAGTGACCAATTTTGTTTTGGAGTGGGAGGTGGGGGGAGGGATTATTACTCCTAGAAAGTGATCCGGCAATCGACTAACAACCGGGTTCCTACTTATTGCTAGGTAAACAGAGGCGTGTGGAATACGGAAACTTGTTTAAGGTTTTGCCCCGCCCAGGAATCAAACCTGGGTCCTTTCGCTTGCGAGACAAGCACGCTAACCACTATGCTACGGGAATCCACAGTGTTTGGTTCACACACACACACAAAGACGTACACGCTCGAGCTGAAAGCTCCTTGGGTCCTTTTTTGTGCAGCAGTTGATTGGCATGCCAGTGAGACTTTTGTGACTCATGCCCAACACTGTGATTTAAATATTTACAGGCCTTTTTCTCCTGTTCTCTGACCCTGAAATGCTACTCGTGAACCTGAACCGCAGGTTAAGTGGAGGGGAAACAGATACGCTTGGCTGCTCTGGCTCAGCTCACAACAATGCTTATCGATGGCTGGTGAAAGCTTGTGTTGGTTAATGAGCTTAGGGGTGATGGGCGACTGGAGAGGAACCATCCTATCTCTTGCGAGATAGTAATCAAACATGTTCAATTTGCTTATCAACATTGGCTTTTTCCCAACTGCTTCCCTTCGTTTTATACCAGCTGTCTCTCTCTCTTTTACCTCTCACTGCACTGTGCAGAACCCTGCAGCTTGTTTCCTCTCCCCCACTAGGCTTCGAGAGCTTCTCACCCCCATCCTCGCCTGGCTCCGCTGGCTCCCCATCCCCAGAGGATTGAATTCAAGATCCTTGTCCTCGCCTTTAAATCCGCCATGGTCTTGACCATTTTGTAACAATTTAATCTGCCGCTCAGCACCCCACCTACCTGCCTCTCGCCTCCCGCACTGCCTGCCCCACCATCGGCTTTGAGCCTCTCTGCCCCCACACTCTGAAACTCCATCCTGGAGTCCCTTCACCTCGCCCTTTCCTTTGCCTCCTCCAAAGTCCGTCTGAAGACCTTTGACTGCGCCTTCAGTCATCTTACCCCCTGCCTACCCTCATACCCCTCGGCTTCACCCCTACCAAATTCAACACCCAGCTTCGATGCAAACCCTCAAGTGTCCAATACCTTGGGACATCTTCCCTATGTGGAAAGAGTTATATAAATGCAAGATATTGTTGTTGGATTGTCGGCAGTACTGTCCTTCAGATGTGACATTGAACTGAAGTCTGTCCAGGTATTTAAAGGTTCAAATTGAAAAGAGAAGGAAGTTTCTCTCTCCTGATGTCCTGGCTAATAATCCCTCAGAAAAGATTGGTGATTCACTTCGTGGCTGTTTGTGGAACATTACTGTGTGGCAAATTGGCTGCCATGTTCACCTACAAATACACGATGACTACACTGCACAGCAATTAATTAGTGGCATTTGGACATTCTAGGTGCTATGAAAATATAAGTATTGCAAAGTCATTATTAATTTCTGTTTCTGGGAGTGCTTTCTGATTTACCCTTCAGTTGTCTCTGTCTGTACTGAGTTGTCTCCTTATCACCAAGGACCACTCACTGTCTTCTCCATGTCTCTGTTATCTCAATGTGAGAACAGATTGCTCTATAACCAGAGTTTTCCATTATAAGTGCACACGGTAAAAGTGGTCACATTCAATCTCATTCTTCCCTCTTGGCTCCTGTTAACCCTGCAAGCCAAAGCCCTAACATATATGGTTGCCCTAGCTGGACAATTAGCAGACACTATTCACAATGGAAACATTTTCAGCAGGATCCCAACATACACTCTGGGTTCCCCAAGCCTGGACTCTCGTCAACCTGCGCCTAATTGTGCGGTTGCTCAGGATGATGGCACATCTCTGCCACATCAACGCAATTGATACCGGGATCCTTCCTGATCTGATGCTCTTAGAAAGGTATTTTTCCAAACAGGAGACGTGGCTGAATATCGGGCAACTTGGGTCTTAGTTTTTCTTTTTCGTGGTTCTGCTGCCATTATTTAGATATTCAGGAAATATGTAGCAGATTCTGGCACTCTGGAGTGTAAGACAGAAAGCACCTCCATGAAACAGTGTTATATAACAACGACTTGCACTTATATAGCGCCTTCTACACAGGGTAGTGTCTCAAGAGCACTGAACAGTGGCAGAGTCTGACATGGAGCTGGGTGGAGGGAAGAGGTGCCCCTAAGCGAAGAGAAAGGTCTTCAGTCATGATCTAAAAGAGGGGAAGGAGGGAACAAGGTGAAGGAATTGACGGAGAGAGTTCCAAATCTTCGGGGAGTAGTGGCTAAAAGCTTGGCTGCTGATGGTGGAGCGGAGAGGATAATGGATAAGCTGGAGCCCAGAGCCAACTGAGCCGAGGCAGGGGTAGTGGAGTGGGGAGAAAGGCGGTGAGAAAAGTAGGGAGGTGCCAGGATGTGAAGGGATTTGTAGACAACAACGACGGATGGCACTTATACAATGCCTTTTGCGTCAGGAGGACATCCCAAGGCACTGAAATGTCCCAAGGCATTATACTGTGGCATCCAGACATCTACACTTGCAGAGACTCCAGAGGGAAAGCAGTAAAGAGGAATCCCAGAGGGTTAATGTAACAACTTTGTGACAAAGTGTTTCTTCTTTCACACACCAATAAATGAGGCGTCGAAGACATCAAAGGTGGTGGTGTGTCAATTGCATGTGACTGCACAATGGCAAATCTAACACCTCTCTCCATCAATCAGAGATATGGTTAAAATGTACAAGGTACCCCAACTGAAAATAATAAGAATAACAATCCTCCTTACATTTGATATAGCGCCTCATCATGTCGTCGTAAGAATAATAATAATCCTTGCATTTGATATAGCACCTTATCACATTATCAAGACATTTCAAAGCATTTCACAGGATATATTATAAAACGATTTTGACTGTGTTTTGTGGGCAAAACAACGTCTCAAAGCTTGTCCCAGTAGTTGCTATAAAGCGCAATGTATTTGTAGGTCAATTCAGCAGCCGATTTGCACACAACAATGTCCCACAAACAGCCACGAAGCAACGACTAATTTTTATCTGAGGTATTGTTGTCCAGGACAATGGGAGAAACTCCCTTCTTTTTTCAAATAGAACCATGGGAGCTTTAACATCCTCCTCAAAAAGCATATGTCATTCACATCTCATTCAATTTATTGCAGTGCTTCCCCCCCAGCATTGCACTGGAGTGTCAGCCGAAACTGTGAATTCAAAGTCCCAATGTGGGCATGAACTAGCAACCTTCTGACAGGTGAGGGGAGAGCGTGGCTGACTGAGCCAGGCTGACAGAAAGAATCTTGAAGGCAAAACACCCACTTTAACAATAAAGAATTAACAAGTAGCATCTCACAGTGCATAAATATGCCACACTTTAGATCTTCTTGAGCTCTCTCCTCTCCCTGGACAGCTCACCTAGAGAGGAAACTCATTAAACTTGGTAGTTACCTGGTACCATGCCAGCCAGTGTAGAGGTGGAGTAGCTGCCCTGGCCAGTCGGCGGGACGTGTGGAGGGTAACCAGGTAAAGTGGTGCTTGCCATGTCACGCCCTGCAAATAAAGTAAAGACTTAAGTACAAATTGGATGAACCGGGGCCTTTTACACAATAGCCAAACAATGGTTGGGCTTCCGCTACGGCTACTAAATAAATGTCTTCTTTTATCGAATACTGATAATAGCTGTAGTGTTTGGGTTGGTCCTGTGAGCAGTCCGAGTTTCTGCATGTGTCAGACATCCAATTGACAGAAAACAATTATATCAGTGTTATACTGATATCCTGTAACAGCCTCCTAAGTGTAACAGTTATTTCATATCAAACAAGAATCCTCAATCAATGACTCTTGCCACTGCTCGATGGTATCTGTAAATTGTGATATAAACTGCTTGGCCGAACATTTCTGTGCCCTACCTTGCTCTCCTGTCCACACTTTCTAACAGAGATGTTCATAGGTTTCGGCAGTTTCATAAATAGAAAGAAACAGGCTGCATTTTACAGCATCAAAACATCTCAGTGTCCTAGAGTAGGCAAACCTTACAGTAATTTGAACCAGCATGGTGCCACACACTGTCTTGAGGCAAAAGTTCCATTTATCTGGAAGATTACCAGACAGATTCCTTGAAACAGTTCCCTCTTTTTTTGAACACTTTCATGGGATATTTAACGTTGAACAGTGATAAGACAGAACTTTGGTTAAAGTCTCATCTGAAAGATGGCACCTTGATCAATGCAGCCTCCCTCCCCTAGCATTGTAGTGTAGCATCGGTCTGCACTACAAGTTCAGCTCATGACCCTCTCACCCAGAGGCGAGTGAGGTGAGAGCACTAACTTGGTAAGAGTTCTATCTTGGTAGAACAACAACAAATTGCATTTATACAGTATTGCGCCTTTCGCGTTAGGAGAAAGTCCCAAGGCACTGGGTACCCTGAAATTGGATTGTGCAGTTTAATGCTTTTTTTAAATTCTGTTGCTCAGATGTATTAATAATGATGATCATCCTTTTATTTGATATAGCGCAGTACCATTCCGTTATTAATTATTATAAGAATCATTAACAATTACAGCTAATTAATTATTAATAATAATACTAATAATTATTGTTTTTGTATTATAATAATCCAGAGCTTTTGCCCCATTTTCCAACCTGAGGGAATAATCTTTCTCAAACCCGGTCCCAATTTCAAAGGCCTCCATTTGAGCCCCTATTAACCTTCTCTACTCCCAACACTATTGAAGCCAGTCAATAACAGAAAGTAAATTCAAAACAAGGTTGTTAATGGAGTCCTGCAGCTCAGTGGTTAGAGCACTCGCCTCGCCTTGCAAGCGAGACACCTGGATTCAATCCAGGCAGGGCGAATCCTTGAGCAAGTTTCCTTACTCCACACGCCTAATAATAATCCCTCCAAAAAAACAAAACAATAATAAATTGGTCATTTTCGATCCACGACTGTTTGTGGGACACTGCTGTGCGCAATTGGCTGTCGCGTTTCGCCCACAAATATACAGTCAATTCACTTTACAGTTTATTCTGTGAAGCGCTTGAGACATCTAGAAGACGTGAAAAGTGCTATATCAAATGCAAAGATTATTTATTAGTGTCTTTCTACTCTGATAGCAGCATTAAGTCCCATTGGATTAAAAACAGCCTCACATGGCTATAAAACACCTCACTATTTCCCTTTCAATGAAACGTCTCAACAATTGCATGTGCTGTATTAAAAGTCGTCATATTAATCATCTTTGTTTTGATGTAGGACCTTTCACATTGGAAGGATGTTGCAAAGCGCTTCCACATGATTTACTCTAAAGTGTAGCGACTGCAATGAAGTGAATGACCAATTTTTTTATATACTGTATCTAGAAGCTTGACAGCCAGGACACCGTCAGGACTTGGGAGTCACACAATCTAAATTGATTGCCCAATGCAGTGCAGGTGGTGTGATGTTTTACAGGCGAAACACAAATGAGCACAAACTAGGTTTAGATTATTTTCCAATCCGAGGACCATGCTGTCTCTTACAGTGAGTCCAGTGTCCTGGCCTGAACCACCCGATGAAACAAGGGGGAGTCATTAACATGACTCATACCTCCTGAGGCCCCCAAGCTCTTGCCAACCCCCATCTAACACTTTCCGGAATTAGGTAAGCAGGGTGCTTCCCTCCAGGGAGACAGTGCGCATTCCATTCCCATACAGGGAAGTGTAGGTGTGTGTGGGACATTCTTCCATCATGAAAGGCGCTTTGCTAAATGTAAGGATTATTATTAAGGACTATATAATCCTTAACAATAATCCTTACATTTGTCATAGCGCCCTTGGTGATGGGTTTCCACATGTGTCAAGACACCTGGCTGACCCCCCAAAACAGGTAGCAAAGGTCTGCTAGCCTCACTTGGGCCAGGAACGCAAGATTGTGCTGAAATGTTGGAACATTCTTAACATTCGGTCTCGAGTTTTGAAGCCGGCTCTTTAAAGGAACTGGTGAATTCTGGGGGTGAAAAACTAAGGCTGAATTTTCAAAATTCTACACTATGTAAAATTTTAAAGGCAATCCTCTTCAGGCCAAGATAGGTGGAATTTCAGGTCTCTGATGTCCACTCACACAAACATTCGAAGTGAAAGGCGCTATATAAATCCAACTTGTTTTTAAGAGTATCCAAACAAAAGAAATTTCCGTGCGTTTCGACCTACACATGGAAATTCCACAGATATTTATTGGAATGGAATGTGCAGTCTCTCTCCTGGAGGGACACATCCTGCTTACCTATTTCTGGAAAGTATTAGGTGCAGGTTGGCAAGAGTCAAGGCTTGGGGACCCCAGAGTGTGTGATGGACTCTAACCAGCTAAAACCGCATCGCTTGCCATTGAAAACACTGCCTGCCAAGTTTACCCACTGCTTGTCCAGCTAGGACCAGCCTACCCGTTACGGCTTTGGCTTGCATAGGTGAACTAGGGGAAAGGGAAGTGAGAGCTGAAACGTCACTGAAAAACTAGACATTGGGGATTGAAGAAGGGAGGAGAGAGACAGGTCTGTGTGTGTGTGTGTGTGTGTGTGTGTGTAGCTGTGTGTTGATGTTTGTTTGTGTGTAAATGTGTGCACGTGCGTAGCTAAGGACAATAGCTTCACTGAGCCGAAAGATGAGGCGTTCTGACAGGCAACTGTCCTACACTGGGCCTGCAGAGCGGGGTGGGCATCACTGCACGTAGTGACCGATTCAGCTAAACTATCCACACCCCCCCCCGCTATCTCCCCCCCCCCCCCCCACTTCCCCCCCCCCCCCACCCCAGCCTTCTCCATCTGACACCAGCGATGCCGCATTGTTACAGTGAGGGCTCTGGGGTCAGGCGGAATGATGTCCCAGGTCCCAGTAATGAGGGAGAGCAGTCAAAGTTTGTCATTGTTGCACATAAAAACGACTCGGGCACATTCGAACCGGCTGTTGGTTGCTACCTAGCAACACGGGCCCCTTATTTGCTTCCTGCCACAGCAACAAACACAGAAGATCAAAGGCATCTGAATCCATTTAGGATGTGGATTCTCTCCACAGAGCACAGCAGATTTAGGTAGTAATAATAATGATCCTTGCATTTGATCTAGCATGTTAAAAGTGTCTCAAAGCACTTCCCAGAATATACTGTAAAGTGAATTGACTGTATATTCTGTGGGCGAAACACGCAGCCATTGCACACGTCTGTGTCCCACAAACAGTGGTGGATTGAGTGACCAAATTATTAATTTTATTTATTTAGGTAAGGGCTGAGTCTGGGTTTGGGAGGAGTCACATCTAGACTCGCTTCTAGTTCCGATGGAGACTTGGCGTCTATTCCAACTGTGTTTCCACTGTCTATAATACCTTGTAATCTATACTGTTGTATAAACGGTATAATACTGTTCCCTATTAATTCCCCACTCCACCCCCACCCCACAGCATCTCATGTACATGGGTGGCTGGAGCTGGGAGGGAGAATAGGTGTTTGTTTGGGATGGGTTTATGGTCTGGAGTTGGTCAGCCATTGATACAGCTGTCTGACAAGCTTTCCTCCAACTTGTCCAGTTAGGACCACCCTATCCATTAGGGTTTTAGCTTACAGGGTTAACAGGAGCTGAGTGTAATGATTCCCTTCTCCCAGTGACTGGTCTGCTTTCGAGGTCCTGCTGATGAGCCAGGCTTGCTGTGCTTTCACCAAACGTGCACTGGAATACTGTGGACACACCTGGCTCAGGAACTGGACTCAAGACCTCCAAGAGGGTGGGTTCAATTCTGACATTCTGTTGCTAAAAATGTCACCCAAAAATGGGAGTGGTGGGTGCATGGAATAATAATAATAATACTCTTGCATTTGATATAGCGCCTTATCACATCTCTGGGACACCTCAAGGCGCTTCACAGAATATATTGTAAAGTAAATTGACTGTGTATTTTGTGGGTGAAACCTGGTAGCCAATTGCAAACAGGAGTGTCCCACATGATCGTGGATTGAGTGACCAATTTTTTTTGGGGGGAAGGGAGGCATTATTACCCCCGGAAGGAGATCCAGAAATCGATGAACAACGGGGTGTCTACTTACTGCTAGGTAAACAGAGGCGTGTGGAGTAAAGAAATTTGTTCAAATTTTTGCCCCAGCCCAGAATTGATCCCAGGTCTTCTTTCTTGCAAGGCTAAGGGACTCCAACATGTAATCCTCGAAGGACAGCTATAATCGTCCATGTAATCCCATAAGGACAGCTGTAATCGTGTTGGGAAATGGTTGCGGTACATTGTCCGAAGCCTACAATCTGTCAGCTCTCCTCTTCCCCAGCCATCTACACTCTGTGCTTTAATCTCTTGGGGGAGAAACAAACAGCTCAGATAAGCCACTGCCCCATTAGGCCAGTCCCTGCCCAGGCGCTAGGATTCCTCACAGCCCGTTCGACACAGATAGGGTTACGAGCAGAACTCCCAGAAAGCACCTAGTGACACAAACAAGCTAAACCATCACAGATTCCTACACTTTCTGCCTGATCCTCGCCTCTCCAATCTCCAGCACTGGGCTTCCATCCCTTCAGCTTAAGCCCCTTCTGACAGCAGTTTGTCTGTTCGGGGATTGGGAAGGAACTCTATACTGCCACAGAGGTATTAAGCGCCTTTCAGAAACATCCAGTGGCTGCTGTTTACCTCCGCTCCAGATTGCCGGGCCCACTATACAGGAGGGATAAAGAGTTTCAAAGAGAAACATGTCAAATCTTTCAGGAATGCTTCTGCAGCTAACCCACGTTGCACATTTTCCATTTTTTTAAGCGTTTCCAAAACCAACTTCACAGCTTGGCCTCGGCACAGAGCTGTCAAAGAGGACAAGCCACACTCCACACACCAGCAGCCCACTTCTTAGTACAGGGGGTCCTGGGTTCTTGTCCAATTGGCTGCCGCGTTTCACCCACAAAATCTACAGTCAATTCACGTTACAGTATATTCTGTGAAGCGCTTTGAGACATCTCAAGCATTATTATTATTATTATTATTGAGTTCACCCACTCTCACTCTGAATACCCCATGTCGTTCATCTTACAGTCAAATCCTGTGAACCGCTTTAAAGCATCTCGGCAACGTGTCAAAGCACAGTATCAATATTGACTCACAACACAGTGGCAGAGGCTATGGTGGAACCTTGGATTCTTTCAGCCTTTGGAACATTGGGTTTAGTTTCTTCCCTGGTTTAGTTCCTCTCTAGATAAATTAATTCCTGGTTAATTCCTCTGTGAATGGTCTATCTATGTATTATTTCCTGGACCATTACTGATCCAATAATAATACTTGCACTTGATATAGCATCTTACTTATCATGTCGTTGCGATGTCTCAAAGGACTTCACAGAACATACCCTAAAATATGTATTTTTGTGGACGAAACATGGCAGCCAATTGCGCACAGCAATCTCACACAAACAGTTATGGAATGAATGAACTATTTTATTTGGGGGATTGTTGGTCAGAAACTCCCTTCTCTTTTCGAATAGCACCATGAGATTTTTAAGGTCCACCTGAACAGGCAAACGGGACCTTGGTGTAATGACAATTCAACACACCCTCAGTACTGCACTGGAGTATCAGCTTAAACTATGTGATTCCAAGTCCTGTCATGGGGTTGAACCCACAATCTTCTGACTCAGTGGTGAGATTGCTACCATTGCGCCAGGCTGACACATACATTATAAATGACATCAGGAGGAAGAAAGATGGGGAGAAAGGCAAAGAGATGAAACGGTAGAAGGCAGAACAACAGAGAGATGCAAATAATGAAGACAGATCTGTGTTGTTCGGTGTGTGTGTGGATCACATTGAAACTCATGTAGGTGGGGGACAGGAAGGGCAGACTTGAGAGGAGTTCAGTCCCAGTAGCAGGTAAGAAACATCTCTTTCTTTTCATCTGCCTAACTTGTTCGTCACTGGGCTGCGTATTTACAAGATAAAGGGTTTCTTTGTAACAAGGCTGCACCTTATCATTTCAGACAAGTATGGTTAAGTTCAATCGGTCTACTCTCCCACCACAGAATACATTTACTGTCACTGCCTTGATGGGTCATGTATAATTATGTGAATTTTATTAAAACTCCATCGTATTAATCTAACACTGACAGCTGGGTATTAGTGCATTTAACCCTCCATGTGCCAGGGCCAGCTGCTGCCCCTTGTCCCTCTGCTCTCGGTGGTTTGTCGGGACCTTGTTAACCCTCTAATTACTGAACGAATTTACATTTGCAATGGCTTAACACACCTTGGCACAATGTGTCAAACTGCGCAGTTTTAGCCAGTACAACTCCGGGAGTTACCCTAAAGCACACTCTGGGGTCCCACCAAGCCTTAGCTCTTGCTAACCTGCGCCTCATATTCTCAGGAATCATGTAAGCAGGATGTGTCCCTCCAGGGAGAGTGCGCATTCCAATCCAGACACAGAGAAATTTCAGTGTGTAGGTGACGCAACTAAAATTGGTCATTCACTTTGTGGCTCTTTTGAGGGATAGTTCTGTGCATAAATTGGCTGTTGCGTTCGCCCACAAAATACCCAGTTACTGGACTTTACAGTAAATCCTGTGAAATGCTTTTTGGGATGTCTTACTGATATGAAAAGCGCTGTACCAAATGTAAGGATTATTATTATTATGATTATTATACGTGGAACCCTTGGTCTGGTTTGGATAATCTTTAGCACAGTAACGGGTTTCCGCATGTATCACAGACCCAGCTGATGTAAAGATTGTCATTACAGTAACAGCCATGTTGTTATTTGGGGGATATTATTTGAATGTCAACCTGGTTCAGTTGGTAGCACTCTGGTCTCTGAATCAGGAGGTTGTGGGTTCAAGACACAATTTGGGATTTTGAACTCAGGCAGTCCAGACTGACATTCCAGTGCAATATGAAATACACAGTCACCACAATATACAGTAAATCCTGCGAAGCACTTTGAAACATCCACCAGATGTAAAAGGCTCCATATCAAATATAAGCATTATTATATGACACAAATTGCCTACAAGTTTTCTTCCCCTTTACTTTCTCTCCCCATCCCTCTCCTACAAGTGTTCGGGCCTTCAGCCTTTCTGCCCCCACCCTCTGGAACTCCATCCCAGAGCCCCTCCACCTCACACCCTCCCTTGCCTCTTTCAAGGCCAACTCAAAACCTTCCTTTTCGACGGTGCCTTCGGTCATCTTCCCTCCTCCACCTTCCTTACCCTCCAATCCTCTCTGATTCCAACTCCCAGCTTGGGTGCAAACACCTCATTGTCCAGTACCTTGGGACATCCTCGCAACATGAAAGGCGCTGGATAAATGAAATTTGTTGTTGTTGACTCCCCATTTCCCTTCCTCTGGGGTACAATTCAACATAGCTCAGTTACCTCCAGTACCTTATCCAAGTGGTCATCATCCATGTGTGAGGACATCACCCTTGAACTGCAAAAATAATCTCCAGGCTACTTATTCAACCCTGACCTCCTTCCTTCTATAGTCAATAACCATTCACCACCCCACCGCCCCCCCCCCACCCCCACCCCACACATGCACAGTCGAGGTGCATAGATCTGCCATGGAGTATTTGCTCAGGACTTAACACTCTGAGACATTATCTTACATGAAGGCTACTATATAAATGCAAGTTGCTGTTGTTGATTGCAATTGTTGGGTGTCTGTCTGCCTGGGTTAAGTCCATGGGACCACAATGCCCAACACTGAATTCCAGTCAACCTTAAACTCTTCCTCTCTTACCACCTGGCTCATCAATTTCCTTTCCCTCCTGAGATAGAAGCTTTGGAGAAGGGCAGAGAGAGGGGGATGGGGAACATTTGTAAACCATTTCATAAATTTTAAAAGCTGCAACATTACATTGGCAATACTGGATAAAACGTAACACTCAACTTCCATCCACGCTCTGTGCTCTCTCCCTTCCAAAACGCTGCGATGTTCAATGCTGGACAGGCGTTTCTATCATATTGAGGACCTGTCCCCCAGCTGGCAATATTATGGCCCAGTGTTACAATTGAGACACACAGTGTCCCAGGTTCCCAATCTGTGCTAAGGCAGTGGATCTCAGCCAGGGAAAAGGATGAGGCGGACTTTAAAAAATTGTTTTGATCGACTCCTTATAATTGCCTTCCTCCCCGTACCATGCATGCGGATTGGGAATAAAAGTAGCCAGGGTTGATCGAAAACAAAAGGGTTGAACAAAAAAAACGTAAACTCCTGAACCCCATCCAGCGATTTTGCTGCTTATGGACGTGGGGAGGGGTGGCATATTTGGTTGAGGTGGTCATAATCAGGCATTGGTGTGACGTCCGCATCTTTTCCCCCCACCCACGCACACTTGCCCACACCTTCCCCCTCCTCCCCCCAACACACACACACACATACACACATACACACACATTGCCTGCCTACACTCACCGTCTAGCCTGACACATGAAGAGTGGTCACTTGGGCGAGGTACTGCAGGGCGACGTGTGCCTGTGGAACCATAACCCCAGCGTGAGTCAGCGCCTTAGGGAGAGGAGAGGAGGAGGGCAGAGATTAGAGGAGGGGGCGGCCAGTAAAACACCCACTTTTTTAAAAATATATATTTAAAACAAAAGAGCAACTTTTTTCTCTCGAGTGATCAGCACACATCAAAATCTAATGTCAGGTCCTCGTGCCCTCCGTTCCACCATCGGTGGCTGCACTTTCAGCCACTAAGCCGCAAAACTCTGCTATTCTCTGTATAATCTACTCTCAGTCTATTTTGTCCCGTATACTACTCTCTCTGTTATTCTCTGTATAACACACATTTTTATCTCTGTTAAAGTTACTGTCCGCTCTTTCACCCTATCTTTTATCCGCCCCGAAATTCTGGAACACTCTCCCTCTAGTCCTCCACCGTGACCCTCCATCCCCATCTTCAGGTTGCAACTAAAGACCTTCCTTTTCGACCGTGCCTAATAAAAATAATCCTTGAATTTGATATAGCGCCTTATCACATCTTCGAGACGTGTCAAAGTGCTTCACAGAATGTACTGTAAAGTGAATTGACTTTATATATTGTGGGCAAAACACAGCAGCCAAGCAGCAGCGTCCCATAAACAGAAAGTGCCAAAAGTCACCTCCTTCCAGCTCGGGGTCATGCTCCGCCACTGTCAAATGCTCTGTGACGCTACCCTGTGTGAGGGCCGCTATATAAATGCAAGTTGTTGTTGTTGTTAACGTAAGTCACGTAAGATTCAGGGCTGAACTACATCACAAGACCACAAAATTGGTTTGGATGAAGAAGGTCCTTTGGCCCATCTGATCTCATCCCTCCAGAACGCCAACCCTACCGTCCGTTCCCCCACTGACCCCGTCACGGGATCAAGCTGCTGTTCAAAAGAGTTCAAGTGTCCTGGCCTTGACCACCCTTCCTGGTAACCATGTTCCAGTTATTAATTACCCGCTGGGTAAAGAAAAACTTCTCTCTTGAAATTGCCCTTCACATCCCTAAACTTCTTCTGTCCTGTCTTGGTGCATCGTAAAGTATTGATCTGGGTTTATTTTCTCAATCCCATTGAACATGTTATACACCTGAGATATGCCTTCTCTCAAGATGGAAGAGCCCCAGTTTGTCTAATCGTTGCTCACACGACTCATTCCACTAACCCTGGGGATCAGCCTCACCATATTGCTCTGGCCTCTGTGATTGATGTTCATGCTAGTGCTATGGGGGAACTTCTGGTCCATTCCCCCAGCGAACAAGGCTTTCTCGTCTTACTAAACCCAATAATCTCAGGTAACCTTTCTCCAATCTGTCAGCTCGAAGCTCGGGGGGTTGGGGGGGAAATATTTACTGGCGCAATTCTCTTAAAGGGGCGGCCGCCGACTTTATGTAATAATGTTGTTTGCTGATTTTTCCTCATTCCCTGATTTGTTGGGTATGTGATGATGCGCCATGATTCCCGGCCCCTCCTTTCCTCCTCTCTTGCTAAAAAAATGCTTTTTCTTTGGATAAGGTGTTGCAACTTTAAATACCCCACCGTGAAACTGATTATTATTAATAATAATCCTTGCATTTGACATAGCGCCTTATCACATCATTGAGATGTCTCAAAGCACTTCCCAGGATATACTGTAAAGTCGATTGTATATTTTGTGGGCGAAACTTGGCTGCCAATTGCATATAGCCATGTTTTGCCCACAAACAGTTGTGGATTGAGTGTCACATTATTATATTTTTTGTCCAGAGCCCAGTTGGCTGGATGCCTTACCTGTCACAACCGGGTAGCTCTGGGGTCCTGACACGTTGCTGCCCAGGTCGGGAGTGGCTGCGGCTGATAGGCTGTTTTTCACATCTTCTAATCCAGAGGTCAGCGCAGAGAGGGAATATTCGTTAGCCTGGGAGAGACACAGCAAAAGAGAGTGAGAGGAATAAGGCAGAGAGAATCAGCAGAGGAAAATAATAAGAATTGTACCTTACTTTTCCTGAAGAATACCAGAGTCACATAAACTTGGGAGTGAGCGACAAGAAACCCCGGTACCGATTTTCAGGTACCCACCATTCCCTGTATCTTCTGCCTTCTTGTATTCACTCTCCATCTCCTCTGTTCCCTGTCTCCTCTGCTCTCTGCCTCCCCCATTCTCTGTCTCCCCCACTCTCTGTCTCCCCCACTCCCTGTATCCTCCACTGCCTGCATCCTCCGTTCCCTGTATCAACAACGACAACAACTTGCATTTACAAAGTACCCCTCATGCAAGGTAGCGTCCCAAAGTGCTTAGGGACGTATTCTCGCTTCCTGTATCCTTCACTCTCTGTATCCGCTGCTCAATGCCTCACTCTCTGTATAGCAGGAGACAGCACCAGTGGAAAAATAATGAACCTTTCGAAGCAAGCACATTGTTGTTACCTGATCTGATTGAATTGGTTCGGTGTATTACCCAGATATATTCCCCGATGGATTCGCAGATTAATGGGGATTTTTTTTTGTATTTTGAGAAGCGTTCATTATTTTTAATAAGTTATTTCTTAAAGTGATTGTCTTTTTTTTTAATGCCACAGGGCAGATCAGAAAGATGAAAATCCACGTTCGGTCTAATGGGTTTTCATAGCATTTTACTGCAAATGCCCTGAGTATCATTAATGTATCATTCAGGCAGCTGCCTTGACTGCCAGCGTCTTGTCTTGTCGTCTGCCCAGAATAGTGCTTATTATCGATGTTAAAGTGGGAGGTCGGAGGCCAAGTGGCTTAGACTCTCTGTGCCACGTGGGGTTCGTTCCTCATGCTCCCCCCTACTATGGGGCAACAGGGACCCCATAACTGAGCGTGCTGCTGAGCAAGGAGAGAGGGAGAGAGAGCAAGGGGCTACAAGGGGGAAAGAGAAGCGAGAGGGGTAGAGAAGGAGAGAAGGGATGGGGGGGGAGGGGGGGAGAGAAAGAGGGTAGGGGAAAGAGAGAGGGGGGGGAGTAGGGGTGGGGGGGGAGAAGAGGGAGAGTAAGAGGGTGGGGGGAAGAGAGTGAGAGAGAGAGAGTGGACGGGGAGAGATGGGGTGGCAGGGGGAGGGAGAGGGACAGATAGGGGTGAGATGGGGGTGGGGAAGACAAGGAAAGAGAGAGGATGGGGGAAATAAAGAGAGAAAGGGGGGAGAGATAGAGAGATTAGACAGGGAAAGAGAGGGGGAGAGAGAGAGAATAGGGGAAAGAGAGGACTGGGAGAAAGAGAGGGCAGAAAGAAGGAGAATGGGGGATAGGAGGACAGAGAGAGGATAGGGAGGGGGAGAGAGAGAGAGAGTAGGCAGGAGAGATCAGCAACAATATTGGTCAGAGACTTATCACATCGTCAAAATGTCTGCACTGGATACTGTGAAGTGTAGTGACTGTGTATTGAAGGGAAATATATTTGCCAATTTGCACACAGCAATGTCCCACAGACAGCCATGAAGTGAGTGACCAATTTTACCTGCGATTTGTTGGCCAGGACACCGGGAGAGACTCCTTTCGCTATCTGAATAGTGTCATGAGATCACTAACATCCACCAGAACAATTTCATGTCTCATCTGAAGGATGGCAGCTCTGACAATGCAGTGTACCCCCCAGCACTGCACTGGAGCATCAGCCTAGACTAGGAATTCAGAGTCCTGACACGGGGCTTGAATGCTGCATATTTATTTACTCAGAGGTGAGAGTACTACCTGTTGAGCCAGGCTGAAGCTTGAGGAATATATTTTAAAAAATTTGATGTATCTTATTTTTCACGATATTGTCTGCAAACCTTCCTTCCCTCCACGAGTTGACAAAATGAGAACTCCTTCCAGGAACAAACACGTCACTCTATATGCGGGAACGGTGTTTCGGTCAATTTCTGTTGACCAAATGGCGTTCCTGTTGGAATGACATGAATTCTGAGGAATCTCGTATTGCAGAATCATGTAAAGAAATGGTTCAAATTAGACCCCAATGAGAAGACTGAAGGGAACACAGGAGAGTAAAGAACAAAGGAGAAGAACACATCTTATTGTGTCAAAATGTCTCAAAGCGCTTCACAGGTTTCACTGTAAAATGCAGTGACTGTATATTTGTAGGCAAACGTGACAACCAATTTTGAACACACAAACAAGATAATGTTCCACAAATAATGAATGATCAGTTTGATTGGGAATGGGGGGGGAAGGGTGTTGGGAATTGGTTGTTAAGCAGGAATGACATGAAGAGGAAGCAGAAAGCTGGTGGAATCCCGTAGCGTAGTGGTTAGCGAGCTCACACACAAGCGGGAGGACCCGGGTTTGATTCCCGGGCGGGGCGAAACCTTAGCCAAGTTTCTTTACTCCACACGCCTCTGTTTACCTAGCAGTAAGTAGGAACTTGGTTGTTAGTCAATGGGAGGATTGCTTCCCGGGGGTGATAATAATCCCTGAAAAAAACTTGGTCACGAATTCACGACTGTTTGTGTGATACTGCTGTACACAATTGGTTTCCACATTTCACCCACAAAATACACAGTCACTCCACTTCACAATATATTCTGTGAAGCGGTTTGAGACGTCTCAACGATGTGATAAAGCACTATATCAAATGTAACAATTATTATTACTATTATATAGCAAAGGATAAAAAGGGTGAGAAAGGAAGAATGAACAAGAAAAGGAGAAGAGAACAAAAAAGGAAATGGGAAGGCAAGGGAGCTACCAGTACCTGTAGTGTGTAAATGGCTCACAAGTGGAGGAGATTAATGCCCCCGTGAATGGCCTCGTCTGTCTCCGAGGGGCTGCCAGTGACCCCAACTTGTCTCCTTCAACAACACATAACCTCCGATTGTCTGCAACAACTGTCGTGCAGCTGCACGATGATGTTCCCCCTTTTTAATAGCATTCAAATGCATAATAGCTACTCACCCATGCAGAACCGAATTGAAAGGGGAAGTCAAGTGGCACAGAAATGTGTGTGCATGTTTGTGTGTGTGTGCGTGTGTGTGATTGGTGTCGGGGGGGGAGGTGGGGGTGGGGGGCTGTGAGTAAGACTCATTGAATTTAAAGCCAAGTCTAACTCCATCTAGAGAGCTTTCAGAAGGCAAAAAACACAGCTAAAGCATCAAAGCGTAAGATGATGGGGGGAAAAAAAAGACCGGAAAGGAAAGTGCCCCCTGATTAATATTGGGTTAGATTGAAACTGATTTTTGTTTCATTTGAGATGCGTGCTTACACTGCTTGCCCGCTCTATGCACATCCCCTTTTTTTCTCACTCCCTCTCTCTCTCTCTCCGGCCCTCAGTCTCGGTGATTGCAAGTCATTTCCAATTGGTTTTGGTATTGATCTTTCAGTGAGAATAAGTTTTCTAATTAGCTGCGAATTAGGATTTCTGCTGGGGTGAAGCTGCGTCCTCTGATTTATCACCAGGGTAATTCGCAGCGATCGGAGGGAAATTAAAATGAACTCAATTAGGCAACTGGTTTGCTTTATGGGCACTGGTGGAGTTTCAGGGGAAAAATTAATAGTCTCTTGTTGTTTAATAGTCTAATGAAAGTAAATAAAGGTTATCCATTGCAATAAGCCAGCAGCTATAACAAGTTGTATACAGCCGAGCTACTCATTTATGATATTGTAGATTCATAGTGACTTTAACTATACTTTAAAGTCTTCCCCCCCACCCACCCCCCCCACATTAAGATAAACAGTCTCTCTATGGAGGCTTCACTTCAAAGAGTGCACTGCTGTCAGGCACTGTACTTTACATCTCATGACATGCCGTGGGCCTGACAAGCCCTCTGGTGAAGGTTTCCATTTGAATATTCCACCTCAAACATAGATATATCCGACTCAAACACAGTTCACTTCTGTCGAGGTGAATGACACTTTCACCCTGCTTTGCTGATCGCCACTCTTTTTATTATTAATAATAAGGATAATAATTTCTCTTACACGGTCGCACTGCTTTACAGTATACTCTATCAAGCGCTTTGAGTTGTCTCGACAAAGTGATAAAGCGCTGTATCAAAGGCAAGGATAATAATAATAAAATGCTTACATTTGATGCATTGAATCGCGCATTGGAATCACGGGAAATGTAGTCTTGACCCATCACAGGATGAGTCCAAAAGCTTCGGCGATGGCTCTTTGAATGAGCTCTCTAATTAGTACCACTCTCCCGCTCTTACCCCATAGCCCTGCAAATGTTACCTTTTTAAATACCTATCCAATTCCATTTTGGAAGCTATTATCGAATCTGCTTCCAATAGCCTTTCAGGCAATGCATTCCAGATTGTAACAATTCTCTGGGTAACATAAATGTTCTCCTCATCTCCTTTTTGGTTCTTTTGCCAATTATCTTAAATCTATGACCTCTAGTTACATTATGGTTATTGTCACATGCAACAAATTCTTTCCTGTCAATGACAATGAACATTCTGATCTCCATTTTGTTTTAGGATTCAGAGGTTTAAATATGAACTAACAGAGAGCTGTAAGCAGGGGTTGCAGTAACCCCTGTAGCCATAATGATCGTCTCACTCCAGAAAGTGATACATCAAAGGTTCCGATGATTTATATAAAGATAACAGCGGGCTAGGAGTCAGTTATGTCAGCCTGGCTCAGTTGGTAGCACTCACCCCTCTGAGTCAGTAAGTTGTGGGTTCAAGCCCCACATAGGGACTATGGATGCACAGTTTTATTGGCTGACACTCTAGTGCAGCGCTGGAAGAATGACTTATTGTCAGAGGTGCCGTCCTTTGGATGATACTTAAAAATCAGATTCCCGTCTGCCTGTTCAGGTGGACGTTAAGGATCCCCATGGCACCACCTGAAAAGAGAAGGGAATTTCTCTCTTCTAGTGTTCTGGCCAACAATCCCCCAGATAAAAAAACTTTAAATCTCACTCTGGACCAAGTTACGTTCAAAATATACTTCAAAGTAAAATCCTGTGAAGCGCTTTGAGGACATCCTTCTGATGTAAAGGTGTTATCAAGTGTTATTAGTATTAGCACATTGAAGAGAAGTAAGGTCAGATCATAAGTAAGATATTTTGAAGCTTGACATCAAAAAGCTTGAAGCTTGTGTCTGTATATGTAGCATTCGTCAAATTTCATACAAGAGTAAAATGCACCTTATAAAGCGATGGCGCGGGGCAGGGAGCAGCCTTTGCAATAGGTTAACCTACTATATCTCAGAGCATTTAGTTGACCCAAACGCAGTACTGAATGACAATCAGTGCAGGCACTGAACCGTGATCAGTGTAGACTGAATGGTGTGTGTTAAAGATCCCTTGGCACTGTTTGAAAAGAGAAAGAAGTTTCTCTCTCCTGATACCCTGGCCAACAATCCCCCAAATAAAATTAGTCTGTCACTTTGTGACTGTTTGTGGGATGTGGAGTCCTGTAGCTCAGCGGTTAGGGCACTCGCTTTGCAAGCGAGAGACCTGAGTTCAATTCCAGGCACAGGGCGAAACCTTGGGCAAGTTTCCTTACTCCACACAGAGCCTAATAATAATCCCTCCAAAAACCAAAAACAATAATAATAAATTGGTCATTTTCAATCCACGACTGTTTGTGGGACATTGCTGTGCGCAATTGGCTGCTGCGTTTGCCCACAAATATACAGTCAATTCACTTTACAGTGTGTTCTGTGAAGCGCTTTGGGACGTCCTCCCGACGTGAAAAGCGCTATATCAAATGCAAGGATTATTATTATTATTATGTTGCTGTGCACAAATTTGCAGCTGCGTTCACCTACAAAATAGTCACTGCACTTTACAGTAAATCCTGTGAAGCGCTTTGAGACATCCTGATGATGTGACAAGGCCCGATATCAAATGGAAGATTATTACAGTAAAACCTGCATAAGTCTTATCTTCATAAATTGTTTAATCACCCAAATCGTACATTCACCCTGGTTCCATTCAGTTTCCTATCAAAACCACTTAGATTTCTTTGCACTATTCATATTAATCATCTTCTAACTCATAATGCTGCTCCCCTACTCTTCATTATTCCCGCACTTACTGGCTGCATTGAATCGTGAGAAACGTGATCTTGATCTGTCGACTCATGCGTAGAAGAACTTCATTTCCCGCGATTCAATGCGATTTCAAAGCTTACCGGTAAGTGCGCATGCAGTGACAGGTCAAGAAGCACTGAATGCACTTACCGGTTGCATTATGCGCAGTGCAGATTGTTGATTAAATTGGATTTTAATAATATATAATAATTATCCTTTCACTTGATACAGTGCCTTATCATGTCGTTGAGACATGGCAAAGCGCTTCACAGAATATACTGCAAAGTGGATTGAATATTTTGTAAAGTGGCAGCCAATTGCACACAGCGGCGTCTCACAAACTGTCATGGATTGAGTGACCTCAATACTACACAAATTTTTTGTGAGATTATTACTCCCGAAAAGCAATCCGCCAATTGACTGACAACAGGGTTCCTACTTACTACTAGGTAAACAGTTTCTAGTAAGGAAACTTGCCTAAGGTTTTGCCCGCCTGGGAATCGAATCTGAGACCTCACACTTGTGAGGTGCTAACCACTACTCTATAGGACTCCACTATATTTTATACCACTTATACAGTTTGCCTGTATAAATGTCCTCCGGACGTGAAATGCGCTTTAAAAAAGAAATTTTGTGGTGGTTGTTGTTGTTGCCTGTAATTCAGACCTCATGTAAGTCATATTAAATGTTATGGTGCAGACTGATACGACTTATGTGAGTTTGACTGTATTATACTCTCTGTAGACTGACCTGTTCTGATTTAATGTGCTCAGCAGAGGTGAAGACATCAGAGTAATGCTGGCGTTCAAAGACACGTTCCAGAGCCTCAAGTTGTTGCTGGGCGAAGGCTTCGCTACGCAGCTGCTTCCGCACACTGTCCGCACTTCCCTGAGAGTCACCGTTCGGGCCGGAGTTATCCTGGGCATCTACCAGAAAGAGGACACAAACTGCATTTTATGTTTTATTTTGTCTGAATTGGGAGCAACTGCGTCTGCATTAACTTGCGTTATCAAAACTTATCTCTTTACAAAATACTCACGGTGCTATCATTGAATCATAGAATCCGACAGCACAGAAGGAGGTCATTTGGCCTGTCATGCCTGTGCTGGCTCTTTGAACGAGCTATCCAATTTGTCCCATTACCCCCGATCTTTCCCCATAGCTATGTAATTTTTATTTTTCAAGTATATATCTATTCCCTTTCGAAAGTTATTATTGAATCTGGGCATTATTGCATCAAACTGTTTTGTAAAAGAGTTCAGTGTTCTGGCTACTAACCTTCCTGATAAACAATTCCAGCTGTTGACGCATAACACCATAAGATCAAGTCTGGATGAAGAAGGCTCAGCCTTTGATCTACCTAATCTCATCCTTCCAGAACACCCACCCTATCGTCCTCCCATCACTGCATCAAGCTGCTTTATAAATTAGTCCCAATGTTCTAGCCTTATGCATTTTTGGCAACCTGTTCCATTTGTTAATTACCCTCTGTGTAAAGAAATACTTCCTGGTGCCTGTCCTGAAATTGCCCCCAACAACTGTGCATGATTGCCCTAATGTCTTGTTGCACTGGCATACTGAGTTGCTCTAGGTTTGCTTTGTCAATCCCATTTAACATGAATAAAGGCCATTCTGAGATGTCTCTTTTCAGGGTGATTTTATTCAATCATTCCTCATAGAGCATTTCCCTAAGACTGGGGGTCAGCCCAGTATATATTATAGTGATACAATATAATAATAATTTATGTTTCGCCCACAAAATATACAGTCAATCCACTTTACAATATATTCTGTGAAGCGTTTTGAGAGATCTAAACAACGTGATAAGGTGCTATATTAAATACAAGGATTATTATTATCATCATAGAACAGGAGGTACATGAGGTACAGCCTGACTGCAGTTTGAGCATGAATTTCAGACTTGACAATGAAGATCACAAACTGAGCAAGATACAAAAGCTTGACTGGTAAATTGTCCTTCTCTCGGATCGAATCTCAATCTCTGCCACAGTCTTTCTCATACTTTGTTTCAGTTTCTTCATGTTCGCTGAAGACTCAAACATACATTTACCCTTGATTCCACATCTACTGATGTTCTGATCTGACTGCCTGTTGGTCAGACATAAACCCGTAATAACGCAGGGTTTGTCTCTATGGTCCTAAGCCATAAAGCATATGTTCACCTCAACAAATCTACTGCACTTCAATGGTTGAGTCATCTGCCTGTTCAGGTGGACGTTGAAGATCCCGTGATGCTTTTCAAAAAGAGATGGGAGTTTCTCCATGTGTGTTGGCCAACATTCTCCTAAATAAAATCAGTCACTCATTTCATAGCTGTTTTCGGGACACTGTTGCGTGCAATTAGGCTGCCTCACTTGCCTACAAAACACTTTACAGTCAATCCTCTGAAGCGCTTTGAGACGTTCTCTCCCAAGGTGAGAGGCGCAATGTCAAATGCGAGCATTATTATTATTAATAAAGTGGTTCCTGACCCAAAGTGTCCAAGATTATTTCTAAATACCTAATCGACACAGTATTGATTGTGTTTCTCAAAAATCTGTTCTATGGATCCACTATTCCATGGGATAAAAAAAACTTCTAATCTCTTGGCCCGCTCGAGGGTTTTTAATTTGAAACCTGTGCCCTCGAAAGAGCTTCTCATTTAGCTTGTGTTAAATTTGGGGGGAATAGAAGTGATGGTACAATGTACTTAACATTCCCTCTGAAACTCCTGCAGGGAACAAAATAAAAATGAGTGACAGGCTATTAACAAGTCAGTGATGGTCATTTTGTTCAAAATAGCATATCAATGAACCAGGGACAAATTTGGCACTGCACCAAACACTCTGCAATGTTAATATTGTGTGTGTGTGTGTCTGCCTGGCGCAGTTGGTAGTGCTCTCGCTTTTGAGTCAAAAGGTTGTGACTTGGAATCATATAGTCTAAGCTGACACTCCAGTGCAGTGCTGGGGGTGTATTGTATTGTCAGAGATGTGGTATACATTTGATACAGCGTTTTATCAGGTTTTCTGGATTTCCACAGAAAGGCTGAAGGCCCGACCACTGGTAGTGGAGCAGGCAGGGCGGGGGAATGTGGAGCAACCCATTGCCTGCAGAACATAAGAGCACGGACAGGTTGGTGAAGTTTTAATAGGTCGCAGAAGTAGGGAGGAGCAAGACCGTGGAGGGCTTTAAAAGTGAAGACAAGTCAAGCCAGCAAACCACCAGCAAGAGGAGCAAGCTTCTTCCTGTGTCCCTGACCATTAAACTCCCTGTTAATTGGCAGTTCATCTCCCCACCCACAAAATGTCTGCCGTGTTTGCCAGCAAAGAACAGTTGCTTGACAATAATTACTGAGAAGAACTTTGAAACACACCAACATTTAAAATCAAAAGAGGGGTTTGGATGAAAAAGGACCTTTAACCTTCCCTCCCTTTATTTTGGCCTTCCTTCCCTTCATTTCATTCTTGCCACCACCCTCTCTCTTGTTGTTTCGCCCTTTCTTCCTTTCTCTCCCTTTCTCCATCCTCCCCCACCCCAACCCCAACCAATCTCTATAAATCAAGAACATTTTAAAATTATTCTGTCCACTGTCCGAATATCCTTCAGTCAGTTTCTCTCATTTCTGCAGTCACTTCTTCTCCTCTGCAGGAACGTTAAAGATCCTGGGATGTTTATTTGCAAAGAGAAGGGAATTTCTCCCAGTCTCAGTGTCTTGGTCAACAATTCCCCAGATAAAAAAATTGGTCCTTGTCCGTCTGAAATCTCCTTCCCCCTCCTCCCCATACACATTCACGCTCCCCATTCCCTGCTGTAAACAAGCCCTGATATCTTCTCATCCCTCTACCACAGGCTGCCTCTTAAATCTTCTTAAAGTGTCAGCCATTTCGCGAGCAGTGCCGGCCACCGTGCTCTCAGTTTAGTCCGGGCTTCAGATACCAACAAATCTGTCATTCTAAATTTGCTGCAGATTATGTTCTCCTCTCAGCAGTGGGTGATGTATGATATGCAAGGCCCTATTGATTGCCTGATCTTGTGGCAAAGGCTCCAGAAATGAACTTGAAATGAACATCATGCTTCAACTCATTGTGCGTATAATACTCTACTTAATCCCGCATTTTTCACAGCTATGGAATTCAATTGATCAATCATGTTTCACTGATAGTACTATTTCAGGCTGTTATTGCTGTTCCATTTGAAAGCTTGACCTTTCCTTGGCTGGGCCAGGAGATGAGCTTAAACCAACTCAGGGGAAAAGACACAGCATCACCTCATAGGGAGACTACATTTTACTCAACTTGCCTCACCGTGTTTTTTTTTGCAAATCTGCATGGTTGTGGGGGAGACAGGAGAGGAGAGGCATGTGGTTTGGAGGAAGGCAAACAAACACAACAGCCCACCCCCACCAAGTCTAAAGGGGATTGAGGCAAACACCCACTGTCCCTGTCTAAGAACAGCCTGTTGTGGATTATAACCTGTAACCAAGGGGCCGAGTTACAGGCTGGAACATGATCTGAGGGGTTTGGGAAGTTTATATATAGAATAGTGGAACCCCAGGGAGCACATTGCAGCCTGGCGTCTGATCAGGGGGATCGAGTGGTTTATATAGAATAACAGATCCCAGGGAATGAGTTGCAAGCTGGGATCTGATCAAAGGGTTCAGTGGTTTACATAGAATAACAGATCTCAGTGGGTGAGTTACAACCTGGGATCTGATCCAGCGGTTGAGGTGTGATAATAATAATCTTTGCATTTGATATTGCGCCTTATCACGTCGTTGAGACGTCTCAAAGCGTTTCACAGAATACTTTATATTGTAAAGGGAATTGACTGGGTATTTTGTGGGCAAAACGCGGCAGCCAGTTGTGCACAGGAACACCCACAATTTTTTTTCTGAAGAGATTTTTTTGATGAACTGCATGAGTAGACGTTTTCATAATTCTTGAATTTGATATAGCGCCTTTCCCATCAGGATATACTATGCAGTGTAGTGACTGTGTATTTTGTAAGTGAATTTAAGATGATTAGCAACAACAACAATTTGCATTCATATAGCACCTTTAACGTCAGGAGGAACAAGAGAGCAAAGGGGGAGGTTAGGAGGAATTATTTTTATGTGGAGTTCTTAGGATACAGAATGCCTGGCCAGTAACTCGATAGATATCTAAGAAATGATCTGGATGGGGAAATGGGACTGAATAGATTGCTCTTTCAAAGAGCAACACAGACATAATGGGCCAAATGGCCTGCCCCTGTGCTGTAAATTTCTATGGTCATGTGGTTCTCAAACACCTTAAAGTGCTTCACAGTGAACTGCTAGAAAGTGGAACGACTATGTATTTTGTAGGTGAATGTGGCAGCCAATTTACGCCAGGCAATGTCCCACAAACAGCCATGAAGCGAATGAGTGATTTATATACACAGTGAAATTTCCCCCCAATCGCCCCACCCCTGCAACCGAATCCCACTTCCACTATTTATTTAGCATTTCACAAAGTCCTGGATGCAGCCTTAAGCTTTGAAGTCTCTTTTATTTTGTGTTGAGTCTTTTGCAAAGCAGCTCCAAAATCAAGGCTGGACTGAAGTGGTTACCAAATTGTGAGTGCTGTAGTGTATCGGTTAGAGCACTCGCTTCGCAAGTGACAGGACCTAGTTTTGATTCCCGGGCAGGGTGAAACGTTAGGCAAAGCGCCAAATATAAGGATTATTATTGTTATATAATGCCTTTCACATTTGGAGGACATCTCAAAGCATTTCACAGGATTTACTGTAAAATGTAGCAATTGTCTATTTGTAGGCAAACGAGACAGCCAATTTGAGTACAGAAGCCGTGAAGCGAACGACCGATTTTTATCTCGGGGATTGATCCCCAGTGAAGCACTTTGAGACTTTGTGGAGTCCTGTCCTGTAGTGGTTAGAGCACTCGCTTCACAAGTGAGAGGAATTG